GACCGGTTTTCTTCTTCACGTGCCTTTTGCCTTGCGTCCAGGCAAATATTTCGTCGGCTGTCTGTTGGCTGATGTCGGCATGCCGCAATCCGAAGTGTTCCCTTCGCGTGTTTCTAACCCCGCTCGGCGTGTCGTGTTGGGCCCCATGTTTCATGATGATTTGGATTTTTGGCGCTGGTTTGTGCAGCGAGGTCTGGCGTCGCGTGGCGGACAGTTGTGTGCACCGATGTACAATGTGGTGCTTCGCCCTCCGGTAATGGCCGTGTTTGCCGATGCGTCCAAAACAGCGTTCGGAGCATACTGTGTGCAAACTGGGTGTTATTTCCGGCGTGATTTGACGTGTGACGAGCAGTCCCGTTTTGTGGGGTCTAGCAAGTCTGTATCCGCGTGTCCCGATGTCCGTATCAATGTTCTTGAGCTACTCGGCATGGTCGCTGCGGCGTGGGTGTTGATCGTGCAACAGCGTCACGTGCCGGTGTCGGCCGGTGACTGCATCCAGTTGCGAGGAGACAATCAAGCGAGTGTGGCATGGATTGAGCGGTGTCGCGGAGGCAAGGAGCCGCGGTCCGGCGCGCTCATGCGGATGCTGGGGGCGATTGAAGTGTCTAGCGGGTGGCTTTTCCAATCGTCCCATGTGCCTGGTGTGCTCAATTCGCTTGCCGATGGTATTTCTCGCTGGCCCGCCGCTGATGTGTACGACAACCTTTGTGCCGCTGCCCCCCATGTGCGATGGCAGGAAGTGGAGTTGAATCGAGCCGGGCAAGAGATGTGCTCTGCCGTGCTGGGGCCAGCCTCGTCCGCCAGTCACTTGCGCGAACGTCTGAACGAACTTATCTGGGCCTTTTTGGAGGCTGGGTGAAATATCGTGTGGCCGTTGTGTATCGGCCGGTGTTTATTGCTGCTGAGACTGTCCCGCATGATGTCCTTGCTCAATTGGTTGAATACGTCGCGTATGGTTTTTCCGTTTTGGGTCTGCAAAACTCGACGATTGCTAGTCACCTGTCCGCTGTTAAGTTTTTCCATCGTGTGTAGGGTGAAGGGGAGCTTGATACGCAGCATCCGCTGATTCGTTGTGCTTTACGTGGAGCGGCGCGGGGGCATGCCGACGTGGGAACACAGCAGCGGTTGCGGCGGTCGGTGTCTTGGGCGATGTTGCAACAGGGGAGTTCGTTGGTGCCTCAATGGGGCGTAGGCGGGCGTCTTTTGTTTCTTGCGCTGAGAGCCTCTTTCTTCTTTCTGACGCGAGCATCTGAGATGTTTGCGGTGTCGAAATTTTCCATGCATGAGGTTCATGGGTTGCGTCGGGGGGACGTAGCGTTTTTTCGGGGGGCGGTCCAGCTATTGCCGTCGGCGCAGTGGCCGTTGGCCGATCGCGTGGAGGTACGTTTTCGTTCGTCCAAAGGGGACCAGTTTCTTTCGGAAAGGGGCGGTTTGCACGCGCACACGGCAAGGTCCGTGCCGTGGCGTCGACCGAGGGGGTGGTGCAGTGGATGTCATGGTGGAGCTGCTTTCTCTGTATACGTTTCTGCCTTCGCATGCGCCTCTCGTGGCTTTCGGTGTTGGTCGGGGCCAGTGGGCCATGTGTACTAAGTGTCAAGCTGTTGTGGCCCTTCGCCAAGTCGTTGCGTTGGCGGGTTTGCAGCCCGAGGAGTACGCGCTGCACTCCCTTCGTATTGGGGGCGCAACTTTCTTGGCGGCGGGGGGTGCATCGCCGGAGGTTCTTCGTAGAGAAGGGCGATGGTCGGGGGAGAGTAGTTACCAGTGTTATGTTCGGAATGTTGGGGGTGATGCTTCGTGGGTGTCAGAGGTGTTGGCGAACAAGGAGAAGGTGACTACACAGCCAGGGCAGGGTACCCGATGGGGTGACGTGTGAAGGGGTTCTGTGGCGCGTGGTGTATGTCGAGGTCCTTGTTGTACCGATGTTATTTTGCTGTACGTTGTGTATGCCGTACATATTGTATGTCGTACATATAGTGTGTTTTGTATACATGGTATGCGGTATATGTTGCGCATGGAAAGGGGGGGGGGATCAGTATGGCGCACCAGCCTTAGGTTTGGGGGCAGACAGAGTTTATATATTTCTGTCCGTTGGGTGGCTCATGTTTATACTGATCGTAAGGAGTAGACCGGGGGCGTGTGTGGTGTGTTGCCCTGCCTGGTCTCCGCTTTTTTCCCCTCCCCCTTGGCGAGCAAAGGGGGTACGCAAAATATTGACAAATTTCGAAAGCATCGAGAAAAGCGAAAGATTGACTGACGAAGTAAGGGAAATCTTCGTTTTGTGAGAAGCGGCAGAAATAAACCGTTGGCCAATCAGAAAGCAGGAAGCGGATGAGCGTGTTGATTCCTGTTTTCAGAATATACTCGCTTCGCCGTGTTTACCGGGGGCGAGCGAGAGCACGTGTGTGTGCTTGTGGTGGCCAAGGGTTGTTTCTGCCGTGGCGTTTCTTTTTCCCACCCACCCACCCTTGCTTTTGGGGGTGTCAGTGGACATGGAAATCGGAGCGTTACCCCCCACTCGGTGTTTGCCATCGGGATTGGGTTTTCGTCGCTTGGCAACGACGTTGTAAAACAAGCCTACTCACTTCGTGAACTCGGCAACCAGGTTACCGTTTTTTTTTTTTTACCTCGTTTTTTTTTTTGGCGGTAACCATAATGGTGGTCGAGTAGATCATGTTGTGCGGGGTCGAGAACCCTTACTCCGCGCAACGGGGGATGATCGCACCACGTTGTGTTAAAATGGTCAAGCTTCCTCGAGGCAGTTACACAGTGCTTACAACTGTCTCTGGAAGTGAAAGCACCAGAAAATAAATTAAGTCATACGTAGCTGTCATCCGTACGCAAGGAAGTAAGCACAAGATGCCGAACACCCTTAGCAGGATGCAGCTCACCCTTCATGCGACTCGCCAAATACCTCACGGCGCTTCGCGCTTGGTGATGTGAGAGCCTGGTCCGGTGAGAACCCGGCGTGCTCCGTCCCGGCTTTGTAGGGATGCGGGGTCAATGGTCAAACGATTACGGCATGCACGATTAGGAGTCCCCCCCCCCCCCCCCCCACCCACCCTTGCTTTTGGGGGTGTCAGTGGACATGGAAATCGGAGCGGCGGCGTTGTGTCCAATGTGATTGCCTGTCGGGGGGATTCACTGTGTAGCCGCAGTCGGGGTCGCGTGTGCCTATGCTGGGCGCGGTTCCGAGGTGCTCGTCCCATTTCGTTTTTTTTTTTTTTTAGTGGGATGTGTGTGTATCGCATTTACTTCGGGTTGTATATATGCAGGACGCATGTTGGTGTGTGTATCGGACCGTTGCATGGTTGGGAGAGTGCACTCTTGGCTGCTGTGTGTGGCTGCGTTGGTGCTGCGCGCTTCCCCGTTGTGTGCCTTACGAGTCTGATTGATTGGTGGACACCCGTATATATTATATGATTAATAATACGTGGGGTCCTGGCGACATGTGTGTTTTTCTGCAGTGCGATGGGAAGGTCAGGGGAACAGAGAGTAGCGAGAGACGAGAAAAATGGTTTTTCTTTGGTGGCCCAAGTGTTTCGCTGAATGGCGATATTAATGTTGATGGGCCTTGTGGGGTTCTCTCGTGGTTTCAGTACGAACAAACAGGTGTGGTTATCAGGGGGCAGACAGAGTTTATATATTTCTGTCCGTTAGGTGGCTGATGTTTATACTGATCGTAAGGAGTAAACCGGGGGCGTGTGTGGTGTGTTGCCCTGCCTGGTCTCCGCTATTTTCCCCTCCCCCTTGGCAAGCAAAGGGGGTACGCAAAATAATGACAAATTTCGAAAGCATCGAGAAAAATGGGGGCCAACGTGGTGATAGAGGGGGCTCCGCAGTGATAAATGGGGGGCACCGTGGTAATATATGGGGGCTCCGCGGAGGAAAACAGGGGGGACTATGCTGATTTAGGGGGTTCCGTGGATCATTTTGGTCAAAAATGTCGCATTTTCCCAAAATGAAAAAAACTCTGCAGCTATCGACGTAGCTCGACGAGGCGGTCACGAATATCGTTGTTTCGCGTTTCAATTTTTTTTCTTTAAAAAGATATCGCACAAAACGTGAATGGACAAATTGTTGTGCATGGACCGTATTGTACCTCTCTCTGGGTAAAGAATGCGAGGGAATCCCCAATCTACGTATTTTGTGGTGCTACTACAAGGGGTTCGGAGGAAGGGGGCGAACCACCATCGACATGTAAGTAAGTCAGTTGGCCCGAGATGGTTGGCGACCCTGACCGCTAGTTTGAAAACAACCCAGCCAGGTGTCCTGCATTCATTCTGATTGGTCGAAATCGTCACCACGGACGACGGGCCCGCTTGAACGGCCGGTTCTTCTGCGGTCGTTCGTAGGGTGAATAACCGACAAATCACCGCCGACCGGTGTTTTGGTGTCCCGAATCTATCTGTGTTTGGTGGTTGACTGCTGTTTTGGCAATAAGTTATTGACGCATCAGCGTTTTGAACACAGCCAGCCGTCGTGAGTGCGACTTACGGTAGGAATGGCGGCTTCCAGCGGTGGTGTGGGTTAGACGCTAAGGAGAGGGAAACTGCTTACTGCGCCTGCCAGTGTTGTTCGAGGCATGCGCACGCATGTTTTCGACGGAAAAAAGACCCATGCGGCCCTGCCAGCGTCGGAACGCGAAAGAGTTACAAATTTGTCGTTCAGGTCGCCCATCAGCTCTGTCTGGGTTCACCTCGCGTCAGCGGGGAGGGGTCCATCCACTAGAAAAGGATATTTGATGTTGCGAAAAAAAGAACTGACAGAGTGAATGCCAGACAGACCAAAACGCCTTGTGAGGCAGGCCAGGGATAGTATGGACGGATGGGTGAAGGGGGCGGAAACCACCCGTGTGGTGTTGCATTGTCTTGCCGACGACAACGTCACGCGCCAAGAGTCATACGCGCGGTGCAATCTAGGGCACCCAATACCCCCCTTCAGCATGTATCTAGGGCAAATGCTGTGCGTTTGCAAAAGGTAGGTAGAATTGAGTACGTGAGGGATGAGATAATCGTTCAGTTGCAAATTGTTCCGTTATTTTCTCTACCGTGCCGCACACCATACCGCACGAAAACTACCACTCCCACCTTCCTCCGTATTCTTCAACTCCCCTCGATCGGGCATTAACTCGCCTCGATCGAGCATCCGTACAATACAAAATATAATACAAACAAGCAACGGATATCGACACTACACAAGCATCGTAACAAAAACAGACTGCATCATAACAAAACCACATCCGAACCACACTATTCCCGAATGACACTGACGTAATGAAACTGACGATGAACTTCTAGGGTCAAGAGGTCCGTCATGTATTTGCTAGAGGAAACGAGTCCTCAACGACACTGCGACTAACAGTTGTTGGCTACCGAATGACCCCAGGAAAACCACCCGCCCTCCTCGTCTATCCACGCTCTCACCCATATGTATCCACTACTAACGTTTTCTCCACATGCAAGAATAACTGATACACATGGACTGGCGCCATCCGTGTACGAAACATTGCGAGAGCGCTAAGCGCGATTCACTGTAGTCACCAGTAAGCAAGCATCCATCCACACAGTACAGCAGTATTACAAGATACGTAAACGACAACTTCTACACAGACGATACGTCAACATCAAAATGCCAACAGCCCGTACACAGCAGAGCAGCAGCCTGCACGCAATACCAAACGCAGCATGGTAGGCAGAAACGATACCAAGAGCAGGGGTGGGGGCTAGGATACTTCACACTGCACGGTTCGTACAACAATTCTTGGCGAACAACCAGACCCGTCACGCACATAAAAAAGTAAACGACTAACTGATCTAAACGTCCCGCCTAATGAGGCCGGCGACTGCCGTACCCTAGTTCATCAAAATAAACAGACATCATAGATCACACCTCGAAATAATCGTTTCATGGGTCAGTGCCCCATCCTGAGTTAGAAAAAGCTCTTTTAGGATATATCCTAAACCAATCACGTGCCGCTGAGCCCGCAGAATGACCTTCGTTCTATGCTGATCCTCAATCGTAACTTTGGTTGTCACGTGACCTGAGATTGATGGCGTCTAGAGGCCCTGCTCTTGTCGTTGTCGGGAGGGGCGGAAGATCTTCCACCCTAGTTGATAGCAAAGGCTTCGATAGCGTCGAACCCGCCACAGGTGGTGCCATCGGAAGCACCCGCGCAGACCATGTCGCACACACCCTCGTCTTGTTCCGAGAAGGTCATGGAACACCAGCACTGCGATCATGTTTTCGGGATGAGAAGGAGCGTGTTGTTAACGTCGCATGGTGGCTTGGGGGGGGGGGGGGGGACCCCTAATCCTGCATGCCGTAATCCTTAAACCCTTGACCTCCCACTCCTACAAAGCCGGGAAGGAACACGCCGGGGTCTCCCCGGAACAGGGTCTCACAGGATCAAGCGCGAAACTCCCTGAGGTATTCGGCGAGTCGCATGAAGGGTGCGCTGCCTCCTGCTAAGGGTGTTCGGTATCTTGTGCTTACTTCCTTGCGTACGGATGACAGCTGCGTATGACTTAAATTATTTTCTGGTGCTTTCACTTCCAGAGACAGTTATAAGCACTGCTGTGTAACTGCCTCGAGAATGCTTGACCAATTTAAACAACGTGGTGCGATCATCCTCCTTTGCGCGGAGTGAAGGTTCTCCACCACGCACAACATGATCTACTCGACCACCATTCATTATGGTTACCGCCAAAAAAAAACACAATGGTAAAACAAAAAAAAGTAACCTGGTTGCCAAGTTCACGAAGTGAATTGGCTGGTTTTACAACGTCGTTGCCAAGCGACGAAAACCCAATCCCGATGGCAAACACCGAGGGGGGATTATGGGACCAACAGGCGATACATCATACCGACGTCAAGAATTTCTTGGCAGTAGAGATCCATGGACAACTGATGAAAGTCTACCGCAACGAAATATAGGTCCTCAGATTCTGCATTTTGGACGAATGTCAACGACAGCGGTAATTGCAACAGCAGTGGTAATCGTAACCATGACATGAACAGCATAATTACCTCGGTCGAGTACTGCAAACCGAAGAATTCAGCGTTCTCTCCGACGCAGTAGTTGTAGCATATCTGCAACGTAGTGGACAGGAACGGAACGTAAGCGGCATAGCACGCGAATCACATGCGGCAAGCAAGAACATCGGTCGTGGCTGGTGGGAAAGCACGTGATTCCAACGCGCCCCTTTTCGTTTTTTTGTGATTTCTCGCTCAACCAACAAACGCATCGTTTTCGCCGGGTCAGGTAGGACTCGAGACAACAAGCGCTGAACAAGCGGTAACACGGGACGGGGACACGGTGGATGCGGTGAGGCTAAATGTCATTACAGTGAGATCGAACATCACAACCAATCGAACCCTTCTAAAGAACAGCATTTTTTGACACAACATCCTTTGTACTGGTGTGCAGTCAAAACTACACAGTCGACCCATTCAATCCTTGGTACAGATAAAAAAAAACCCTTCGCACACACCACACCTCGGCAGACAACTCCGACAAAGCGGTCATGGTCTCCATAGCCCGAGAACCGTCCCTCAGATCAGCGAAACAGCCCAAAGAAGTGTACGCGTCAGGCACCTGGGAAAAACACCATCAGAACAGCAGACGCACCAGGGAAGGGACGGATGGACAGCAATCAATACCGAACAAAGGCCGGGCAGGGAGCA